AATACCTCTAAGAATCCTTCTTGATGTGCTCTTTTGTGTGTTCAGGTTTTCTAAAGTGTCTTTTTATGCCCTGACATCTTTATTCATGACATTTTAAAACTTCGTCGCCATCTTGACACTGAGACATACGGCAGGTTGCCATGGCAATTTAGTAAATTACAAATTAACGCTGAAATTTCGCGCCAAAATTAAGGAGTAATTTGTCACCTATGATATTATAATTATTATTTCATTGCTTAAATTCATTCATTCATGGAGCATTCATCTGTCCTTTGCCGGTTCAGGGCTGTCATTAACAGGCGGGAGCCGGGGATTTCCTCCGGCTACTGTGAACATGGCCCCGGCTACTTTCTATGGAAAATAAAAGAAAAATAGAACCAAAAAAAACCCCTAGCTATTTGATTCCCTGCCTACTTGTTGTATTTGCCCTTAGTGACAACCCTGTGGTTATATGTAAGCTTAATATTATTTTAATGCTCTTACCTTGTTTACAAAGTCCGGGTAGTTGTCACTCAGGTGCTAAACTGGACACCAAATTTGCGTTAAGTACCTAGTAAGAAATTATTGAAAATAATACATAAAGTGAGTGACTGACATGTTTCTCAACCATGAGGCACCTTTTTTCAATTTCGCATTTCCCTTTTGATAGGAAGAATTCAATCTGGACTAAATATTTCAATGAGCTGCCATATTGAAAAAGGAGAAAACCCTGGGTACAAGCTCAAGTCCAGCTGACAGTTATAGGACCCTGGACTGAGACCTACCCAGATACAGTTTTTAAATATAACAGCGTGCAAAGAAAGTAGTGTCCGATTGCCCGTGGCTAGTCGATTTTGCTATCGGGCTGGTGAATTCTGTTTTTAACTTGCCAGACTGGCAAGTAATGTTTTTTGAGGAATTCGAATAACAGGAGAACTGTTACATCAATTCTGCTAGTCAAAACGTTTTTGGGGCTAGTTGAAATGATGTCTGGGCTAGTAAATGCTAGCTTCAGCTTGCCCGAATGGCAAGCTGCAAAATGATTTTCTTTGCACCCTGATATAGGTATGGTTGAGGTACAGTTGGGTACGGGCAGAAGCATATATTAACCTCGAAGAGTCTAGATTCCCCTTATCTGTTTAGAACCACACAACATATTCACAAATGCCGGACATGGGGGGGGGGGGGGGAAACTGGTGCCTAGTCATGAAAGGAGGCGTTGCAGGTTAAACAAAAATTGCAAATGAAGACTTTCAGCGAACTTGTAGAGTGTTTAGCCTGCAAAGCAGGCATATTTTTTTGGACTTTCGACTGACTGAGAGTTGGGGTGAATCAAAAAAGGATTCCAAGGGAGAGGTTGACATGTCAAAAATAGCGGAGGGGCAGGGGGAGGGGAGAGGTGGAAAAACATTGCATTCTCTCAATATTTCTCATATTGATTCTCTCACAATTCTACTCAATGATTCACGCAATATTCTACTCAATTATCTAACTTATATGAACCGTCTGATAATTGAGTGATTTTACTTAACCCATGAAAGAGGTAGTAGAGTACTACATGCTAAAATGCACTAGTTCTATTGTCTTCTTTTGTTTCACCAGGATCACAATGCCCTTGTTCTTGAAGTTCATTTAAAGGAAACGTGAAAAATTTTTCAAGCCTCTCACCGAGCTCTCTCCACTACCATTCAATCTAAAGTTGGTATTCAAGTACACAACAACAACAAAAATCAACAACCCTGCAAAAACTGTTGCAGATAATATACATAATAAGCATAATGTCAGTACTCTGACATTACATATGTACAGGACTTCTTAAAATATTGTTTGGGGAATTGTCTTACTTACACTCACTCACTATCTACTTACAATCCACTTACACCACTGGGATGTTGAATGTTATATTGGTGTATACAGTTTACAATTTACAATTGCTGATATACACCTCATGCACATCCTCAAAAGTAAGGTTCCACTCTCTAAGGTCCCAAGGTGGAATTTTTCCCAGGATTTTACAATATCTCCCTGAAAATTGCTAGCTTAATTCACTTTATGGTTAGTCTCAACATTTGTAACCTGAGATCAGGCCCAATTTTAGCGGTTCTCATACATTCTCTCTAGAAGCTACTGCTAAAAGTTGGGCCTGATACAAACTCTCACAAGTTTGTGCTCAATGCCACCAGATTTGGCCGCAACACTAATTGGCTGTTAGAACAATGCCACAGGATCTGATTGGCTGTTGGAATCAACGGAAGTTGAAAGTGCTCCGCCGTTGGCGCAGAGAATGATTTTGCTGTCTTTTTTATTGTTTTGTGGTCTTATGGAAGGAAATTATGCCTTAACATGTGCTATGGATATTGCCAAAATTCAGATGGTTGCATGTTCATATCTTCTTGGCATTTGCTTTATTTATGGAACTAATGTGGGTGTATTGCAGAGTTGAATCCCTGACTGCAAGTTGTTAACCGTGAACAAGGTGCCTTTCGATTTACCAACAAATGAGTGCAAATCAAAATACTGTCCATCTTAAAACTGGTCTCATTTGAAAGTTTAGCCGGAAATGACTTTTTCTTTTGGTTTGTTTACAGGTCAGTTGAGGATGCAGTTTTAGTAGTGTCATATCGTCTTTCCAAAGTTATAGATAATATTTACCTGGATTTATAAAAAATTGCTTAAGACCTTTTGCAAATTGCAAGTGTAGTAACGGGACTAAATCAGCTAAATTAAATGCACTTGAGAACTCATTTCGTTTACTCTAAGATAATTTATATATCCTTTGAAAAAGTTTGTGACATATTTTTCCAAGATTTTTAAAGACTTATGCACTGAAAAAAGGGGAAAATTGCCAAGAAAAATATAAATTTCCGAATTTTAAAAATTGAGCGCACCTAGCCAAAATAATAAAACTAGAACATCGTGTTGCCGTCTTTTCAAACACTTTTTACCTTTTACGCCACCAGAAATAACCTTCAAGGTCTCCTTTAAACTCGCAAGAAGTTAAATGTGAATGTGCTAACTCCTTTATTTCAAGTTGAAAAAATTAATAATTTTCAGACTCACTGACTTAAAATTATTTTAAGTCAGCGAGTCTGAAAAATTTGCATACTATAAGAACAAGCAACGGATCTGAAGTAATTTTGGTTGGCTGATTCGGCAAATATCAATCAATCAAAAAAGTGGCTGGTAGACGTTTCGTAGAAGGTTTCTGTCAGGCTCTCTTTTCGTTTAGCCTTGCCCGCTGGAATGTTATTTACAAATTGAAACGAAAATAGAGCCTGATCGCAGGTTACAACATTTGTAAGGTTTTGAGGTTGACAGGAAATGTATAATTATAGTTTATTAGTCGATACAACTGAACAGCTGTGTATAAAAGTGGGACGGGGACAAGGGGACAGGACACTGGGAGGCGTGTGTGGGGACTTGGGACTTGGGACTTGGGGACGCAAGATGAGGGACTCGGGGACATCAAGTATGGGACACCAGGACATGTGGGACGGGGACATGAGACATCAAATACAGGGACACAGGGGACATGGGGACGTTTATTGCAAAAGTCGGAGGTAAATGTGATATCTCTTTCTTCGTAAAAATGTGTTATTTATGGTCAACATTAAATTCTATTGTCCAGAACCACATTGGGCACCTTATGATATTTACACAAAATATTTCCTTATATAGGGGTAAGTGACTGACTATCGTGATTAGGGTTAGGCACTGTTAGCCCCTGTTAGCAAGCATTTACTGTTAGGTTTGCCACTAAAAATATAGAATTAAAGTCAAAAAGACTACTGCAAATACCGATCAAACTACATGAAAAAGGCTGAGGCGTACACTATTTCGACTGGTCAATACCAGTCTTCATCAGGTTTATTTGGAAAAAATACAAACAGACAGAATATATACTGCTGTGAAATAATAATTGGAAGTTACATGATGATGTGATAAGGTGTGGCTGCTAAGAAAAATAAACCGAAAAACAGATAAAGATTACCTAATGATTATAGTTCGTCACGTTTATTAATTCCCTTAGGCTCGATGGTTTTGGCTTTATGAAAAAGTATGTAAAATGAAATAAAATATTTTTACAATAGTTGAATCCCCGGTGGTGTAGTATGTGGTACAGGCAATGGATTTCAGAGCTAGCACTTCGGGGTTCAAAGCAAAGCAAGCTTATGCCACTTAATTTAATTTCCTTTTTTTATTTAGTTGGAATCGAATGCTGTTTTGAGCTGTTATTCTATATAAGTTTTGGCGACCACAACCCACCCTACCCTGCTTAGGGCTCCAATATTCCTTCAGCAAGAAGACCAGGACAGCGATTTCACTTTCTTCAATGCAGGGGTTCTTCGTCGAGTCTTCGCTTCGTAAACGGGCATAGTTTTGATGATCACGCAATCCTTACACATCCCTGATTTGGTGGCAACCCCCTGCATTGCAGAAGTGAAACCAGGGCTCAAAATAAGGGACAGAAGCTAAGGGCGCTGGTCATGATGACTGGCCAAATATTTTTTAGCCTGGACAAACCCCGACTTTGGCCGGTCAAATAATGAATACTATTTATTATAATAAACACCAATGAAATACCAGGTGAGCTTTCGCGCGAAAACTTGATATCTTCACATGTGAAAATAATATGTTATCTTCACATGTGAAAATATCACCTTTGCTATGGCTACATAATAAATCGCGCCTTTCACACCAAAAAACTATTTAAGTGAAATGGTTTGGTATTGCATTGGTGTTTATATCATAAATAGAACATTACATGGCAGCTTGGAGGTACTAAATTTCTCTCCTCGTATTGAAAAAATATTTCAAAAATCGAAGAGAAATTTTGTATCTCCGCGCGGCCATGTAATATCTTCTTCTTTTTTTTTTGCCTATGGAATATCGAATTATGCTTGCAATAGATCGTTGTACTACATTGACGTTCAGGTTTTTGGTGGAAGGTTGGGGAAAAATTCATTTACACGTTGTTGAATTTTCGCCGTTTTCATGTCTGTTGATATATACCTTGAGTATCATGGTATGTCGGAATCTGAAGTCTCCAAGTTTCGTCCTGTATCTGCATATCCGGGTGAAACTTGACCTTTTTCGTTACCCAGCACTTGATCAAAAGTCTCCTCCATAAGGAAGAAAGTCGCTAAAAATTTCCGGCTAAGAAGTTGATTTGGAGAGAAATTTGTTCTACAAACAGCGTATTTATCATCAGAAGTCAATAAATATACAGTAGAGCTTTCGTTTGGGTCGTGGCACTTCACTTTATTGCGAAGGGCCTCATTAACGTCAACAGAAATTTGCAAGAAGGAGGATTTTTAGCGCCGAGATAGGCGACGTTCGTTTGCGATTCGTTTAGTTTTTATAGACAATTCTAGAATCAAGTCCGCAAACGAGATTCATGTTCGACATAATGAAAGTATTATAAATCGATGCGCTGAAATTTATTCCCGGAGAAACAGTACAGGACGAGCGATCAATCTGCCCGAATTCCATCGAAGGTGATTTTCACAATCCTCTACAATCCTCTACAAGTAGATGTGAAACGTTTGATGGACAAAATCTGTTAGCTATCCTTTAGTTTTCTAACAAATAACGGATTACTGATCACAGCAAAGCAGAGCATACAGTAAGAACAGCTGCATCGTTGCGTTACTCCACAACTCAGTTTGTTGTTGTTTTGAGCCATAAAATAAAATTTACTGGGGTGTTCTTTTTCTTTAAAGAAAAGTCTTGCCGGTCATTTTGACTGGTCATTTTTGGATGCGAACATTTTATAATATTTTTCAAATCATTACAGTGTTATAGAGCAAAACGCATTACATTAACTATATGAAAAATATTATAAAATCTTTGCATCCAAAAATGACCAGTCAAAATGACCGGCAAGACGAGAGTTTGACCAGTCAAGTCCACAATCAGGCTGGACATTGTCAGTTGACCAGCCATCATTTTGAGCCCTGGAAACAACTGTCATGTGCAAGTTTCCTAGCTGGAATATTGTAACATAAGGAGCACAGGGTGCAGGGTTTCATTCACCAAAACATTCAAGAGGAAAGTGACTGATATTGCAGTTACCTCCGACTTTTTCAATAATCCTTAAAATATAAAAATAATCGTCCCCGCGTCCCTGTATTTGACGTCCCTTGTCCCCATCCCACACGTCCCCGCGTCCAATTCTTGATGTCCCCAAGTTGCTCGTTTCACGCCCCCCAGTTCCAAGTCCTCACAAAGTACGCGTCCCAATGTCCCCATCCCATTTTTATACACAGCCCAACTGAACACTACTATCCAGCCACCTTGTTCAAACTGTATCTTTTCTTGTCTTTGTTATTTTATGGCTCAAGCAGTGTACAAATGTTATACTCTTTCCCAGCCACAGCAATGCTGCTCAGCTCACACACTCGTAAATGCCAACAGCTCACCAACCAAACCCTATTTTAATTGACTTTTGGATGCTCTTTGAACTTAAGACAAGCCTTAAACAGGGAACTTTAAGTAGTTCCCTAATAAGAATGTATAAATCAAGGAACCTTGTAGGTTTAGAATTTCATCATGTCCTGATGGAGTTTCAATAATTTTTTAATTACCGAGAAAAAAGGTAGGACATTTCTGCAAACGTTTAAAGTTAGAATATTAAAGTACTTTGGTGCTAGCAAAACACTGCATCACATAAAAAAGTACACATACTTGATTAGAAGTTGATGGCCCATACATGACTGTCTCAGACTGGATCCATGTCCCCATGATGCTGTCGGAGAAAGGAGTACATTAAAGCCATCACTCCTGTTTCTGATCCTTTACCCAGCCTAAGCTTGCTCGCTATCGTTGTTGCTTTGCTTTGGGTAAACCTTTACCCAAAGCATTTTTCGGCTACAAGTATCAATGCATCCGTAAACGGCGATCTCAACTGATCGACCTCAACCTCTTCGTCTTCAGTAACAATCGTTGTTGTCGCCATCTTGAATAGGACACCCCAAAGGCATGCTGGTCTATGGCAACGCTAGGGCATGACCGTTTTCTTTCTTTCTCTTTTTTTTTTTTCGTTGAAAAAAAGTATGACAACATAGATCTAGCCTGTTCACAGTCCTCTATTTTTCCGTAAGATCATCGAGGTCGAGCACTTTGCGTGTTACGGGCTGCCATCTTGCATGAGTGTCAAAACTACTTAGGGGGCTAGAGCTATAATCCCCGACGCCCGCCCCCTCGGTACATTTGAAAATCAAGATAGCCGTGACGGTAAGACGCGGTATATCTAAACGATCTCGCGAAAAAATAGGGGACTGTGAACAGTCTAAAACCATGGCCGTTTTTTTCACTGAAACAAAAAAGAACATAAAAAGAGAACCTATGGTAACGATAGGCCATGGATAAATTTTTATCATTATTATTATTATTATTTTTATTTTCAATTCTTTAATTTTTCATTTGTCCATTTTTAAAAAAATCGATTACTTTTTTCAAATTATTATTATTTTAGTTTGTATTATAGTTTATTTTCTATTTAAATTTATTTTAGGAAATATTAGTAATATTTTACATGTTGTAAAACCAAAAAGGAAGAAAAAAATAAAACAAAACGAAAAGTAAAGAAAAATGATAAAAAGAGAGAAAAAACGAAAATAAAAGGTAGATTTACACAAAAATTGTCAAGGCAGGGTTTTTTTTATGCAATGCGGCATCCTAGGCGACAATACAGATGTTCTAATAGCCTTGAAAGGCTTCTTTTCTATCCAGAACATCACTAAACACTTTTTCTCGATCTATTTATGATAACTCACAAAAGATGAAAAAACTTCAACTTTTTGACCAAAATCACGGACTACCCCATTGGAAAAGTGCCAATTTTGTGGTTTTCTTAAACCCATGTTTCTATTGTCCAGGGCCGAGTTGTTCAAAGCTGGGTTAAGATAACCCAGGGTTAGCGCTAGATTTGAATTCAGATATGAAAGCTTAAAAGGTATTTCAGTTTTAGTTCTTTTTGTCTACAAGTTGATGATTGGAAGCTCTAAAAATAGCACAGAAAATTATCCGAGAAAATCCTTTTGAACACAAGAAAAAGAAACCCAGGTTTAATTTAACCCCGGGTTAAGTGATAATCGGCCTTCGAACAACTGGGCCCAGGAAGGCTTGTTTTCTAACAAGAGCGTCATCAAATTACTTTTTCTCGGTGTCAGTTTGCATAAAACGAAAAGTAGACAAACTCTTAAATTTTTTACCAAAACCATGGACTAACCTCTTTGGTACAATGGGAATTCTGCGGGTGTTTTAAACCAAAGTTTTCATAGTCCAGAAAGTCAAAACTCGTTTATTAACATCTGTTTTCACGATCTGAGTACATGGGGATACAGGGGGTTACATGGAGTTAAAAAGGGTTAGAGGGGGTCACAGGGGGTTACAAGGGCTAACAGGGGGTTAAAAGACCTTACAGCGGGTTCCAGATAAACTTTTTTATAACTAGACCATCCCCAGAGACTTTTTCTTGGTTTATTTTCCATAACACTAGTAGTTGAATAAGTCTCAACTTTTTGACGAAAACGATGGACTTACCCCTCTGGAAAAAAGCGAATTTTGCGTTCTTCATAAACAGATGTTCTCATAGCATTGAAAGGTTTCTTTTCCATTCACAACATCAGCAAACTATGTTTAATAGACACAAAACATTAAAAAAGTCAACTTTTTTTACCAAAATCATAGCCTAACCTGTTTCGAAAACGCCAATTTTTTCTTAAATCCATATTTCTATTGTGAGGAGTGATGGAAAACGAGCTCCCATACGAGAATTTTATGACTTTTATGTGAAAAGCGAATTAAAAATAGAGCTTGATTTCAGGTTGACTATTTGATATGTATATTCTCATAGTGCAGAAACATGCGCGATATCAATACTATTGGGAAAAATAGTTTTATATGTTTGATGATGTTGTGGATGGAAACCAAGTCTTTCTTGACTATAAAAATATTGTTTTTAGATAGTTGCCAAATTTGATATCTTCAAAAAATTTCACCCATTTTGCTTAAAAATTTGATTTTTCTTTACCGAAGGTGTTTTGAGCAAGATATGTATCGCTAGTTAATGTTATGTTTAGAAATGTTCTAGAGGTCACATTTACGCAAATAAAATTGAACTTCACTATTGCTATCATTTTGTTGATATAAGTACCGAACAATGTTTCAAGTTAATTGTTGGTTAATTTTGTTTTTTATTCACAGCAGTTTGATATGTACAAAATGTTTCAAGAGTATCCAACGTTATTTACAATACAGTAACAAAAAATCTAATGTACCAAAAACGACTGCATTCATTTTCTTTTTCTCGCTTACTTCGCACGTTTAATTCCCATTTCTTGTTTTTACTTCTTCTTTTTCTTTCCTCCCTTTTTTCCTTTCTTTCCTTTCTTGTCCCCCTCATCATCTCCTGCCGCAGCTTTGGCGCGCTTTTTGCCCAGCGGTGTCTTAGCGTACCAAGTCTGCAAGGTAAAGGAGCATGTGTAACGTAAGGGAGTTCCCGGAGACTTGGCAACAGTAGAAATCATCGGTTGCTCAATCGAAATATCGTAACTTGGCGAGTAAAATTCGGGGTTATGTTTATTGTATACTACGTTGTTGGTAGTTAGTGAGTTTTTATGTAGCTTTGTAAATTATCTATATTTGTACATATTATTATAAGTAGCTCTGTCGTTCAACCTCAATGTATGGTCAGATATATGGCTATAAACCTGCGCCCATGAAAATCCCAAAGATGCAAAATAAGCGGCTCCAAAATTGTACAGATTCTGCCCCTGCCAATATCACCAGACGAACTTAAGCTTCTCACAAGTGGAGACATCCGTGTTCTCACGCTTGTGGTGCGAGCAAAGACTGGGCACTAGGATTGAATAAGATCACGTTTTGCCACATCGTGACGCCATTCTTACGCGAGGAGATTTGTCACTCACCTTAAACGCTTCTTCCTCTTCTTTGTAAATTGGATCAATGCGTGCCAGTGGTGCCACAAACTCTACCGCTAACAGCGGTCTCTTTGACAGCTGAAATGTAGACGAAATACTGGTCAATGACATGTTGCATCATGTTGTCATGACATGTTGTAGCATCATATGCAAACTAAGTGTACGCAATGGCGCCGCGCACAGTTAACATTTGTCGAACTAAATAAATTGCTATTAGCACATTCCTCACTTTTGGTCGTTGATATGACAAAAGTCAAACAAACAGTGCAAATTTAAGTCATCCTGACGTCATTTCCGTTCTGTACTACTAATAAACTATGGCGCGAAACTTCCTTAACGCCTCGTTATAGTGCTACGCATGCTTTCTACGCATTACGAATGGTCCGAGAAGCGAACTCCTTTTAGTGGGGCCCAGGCGCGTGCGCGGATGGGGAGCTTGGTAAATGGTCAAATTTTACCAGTAAAAGTCTCGGCATGAGCGATCAACAAGTAATAAACTGGGGCAGTACAAACCTGCTGAACACGTCTTTCTGTAAGAATCTGTTGAATAGCTTGGGCCATGTGACCTGGAGTGTAGCCGTCAGTTATTTTCGCCAACGAACTCACGTCCAATTGCTCAGTTAAGCGTCCGCCATACCTTGTGACCAGCGTCTTCCATAACACTACAAGCAAACACGAAAGTTTAATAATGTTTCAAAAGGCACGTGCAGTGTAAGATAGACGAGAATAATTTTTTTCTATCGCAGCAGTAGTCTAGAGAAGGCTGTGTTTAGCCAGCACTCCCTCAAAAATCGGAGATGGGTGCGTGTTGGATCACGTGTCAAGAGTCCTCAGGCTCTTTGGACCGTGGATGGTTGCCATACTGCGCAAGGTACAGGGTGTATGATGACGTCAAATGTAGCGACTACACACTACAAGCAAGTTACCCTCAAAGGTCCCCGTACACCAGTTACCTAGGTAACCTACGCTCTTCCGCAAAAACCCGCAGACTCTTTGCACTAGACTTTTAAGTGCTGCAATAAACAGATAGATCGAGATAAATAGAGTATACTTACAGAACCTCGAGGCATAATCAGGTCTTGGAAGAAGAAGAATTTTCTGATACAGACCACAGAACGGCTTGATCTCAGCATCTTGGTTTAGTTAAGGAATAAAACAAAAACAATGACGCACACTTAACTCTGACATTACGGTTCATGCCAAAGATTCGTTTAGCACATCAAACAAAGATAGCCTGTTCACCTTCATGTGAAACGATCGTTTAGGCGCAGTCGGCTAAGAAGCAGTAACAAATGGTCAACTGATAGACCGACCTTTATGTTGACAATAATAAAGCGGTTTTAAAGTCTCAATTAACACCATAATCACACTCAGAATGACCATAATGATATCTTGTGTTCACAGAGACATTTGAAAAGGCGAACACCTTAGTTGCTTACATTTAGCACAAAATCTCGTGCGCAATTATTTAACAATTAAAATGGACCCTGTGGAAGAATGACCAGTTCTGAGTCTATCCAGATCAGCTGGTTATCTAAAAAGACTAGTCCATATTTTTTATAGGTAAGGGAATTTTCAACAAAAAATAATTAACAAAAGTGCCGTCTTTTGGTTTAAGTTCCTCCTTTCTAAAGTGCCATGCAGCTTACCGGAATTTTTTCCATTATTTGTTTGATCATGTTATTTATAGCTTCTCAAAAGGAAAGGCGTGAACCATTCAATTTTTCAACCGGAATTTCCGGTATTCCCATGTAAATGGTAAGCACCTGTATGTTCTACATTCAGATCAATGTAGGTTTCTGAGAAACTGCCCACCTACCCCTCCCTTAAGCCAACGTTTTGCCTTAAGTGAGAAGTAAGTGTTAATGTTAGCTTAGGGGAGGGGTAGGTGGGCAGTTTCCCAGAAACCTGAATTGAACCCTATTTTCAATACACAGTATTACAGAAGGATACCAAAGGGCATTCTTGAGGTGCCCACAATAAGGACTCGATCCTCTGGCTTAAGAGTTTTCAAAATCTTCGGCAGGTCCTTCTTCAGTCTCTTGGGGTCGGTCTGCAAACAATAAAAAGAACATAGTTTTGATAACTTAACGTTTCTTTTTAGCTACTGAAGGAATTTTTTGTGTTTTCCCGCGCTTTGGGTACCAACTGACGGCTGCACGTTTTTTTTTACCCTTGGAAGCTACCTTGATACCGGTTCGATTTTTCCCGCGCTTTGCACTGGCCGGCAGCTACACGTCTTCTGTCATCGACAGTTCACCTTGACAGCGGTTCGATTCTTCCCTCCCATGGTAGTAGACTGGCTACTGGTAGCACGTGAATGTTTGATTTCTCATTCACAATACGCATGTAGCAACATAGGTCATGAAATGTGAAAAAGAGTTGAATGTTACCTTGTCTGTCTTGGGAACTTTTTTCACAAAGGTTCTTTCTGCATCACCGATATAGACTACTGAGGGCTGAAGTTGACGAGCAACCTGTAGCACACAGAAAGGAGAGGACATGAAGGATGAATTTCAACGCAGTTAACTAAAGCTACAAAGATGCTCAAGCCCGCTACCCCTCCTCCCCCTCCTCAAACCCCAGTCTTCGGTACAAAACCACTAACAACACAGTGCCTATCAATATCTATCCAACAGTTAAGAAGAGAATAATATAAAGAAAAGGAGATTTTAAGCCCTTTACAGTGAAAGCAAGCAGAAGAAAACATATCTATATACCTCTCGTATTTTCTATTTGATTTTCTCGTTTTGTTACAATAAGTTGAAACACTGACAAAGATGCTAAAATCACGTGATTATACCTTGAACACCATGTGTAACATCATCTGAAGCCCCGCCTTCCCGGGGTATTTTCCCGCGATATTAGCAGCTGTCAGGTCAAACATGTTCGCCCCAGTCTCCGTGCAAACACAGTGCACCAGCATTTTCTTTCCAACACCTCGTGGGCCAGCGATAAGAACAGACTTGACCACCGGTGACTTTTCATGCACAGCTTGGGATCCTGCAAGACAAATCACGGGGAAAGATCGAAACGTCAAAATTCAACCAATCAGTCAGCCAATAATTTTCGCCTCCGATCAAGAGCTGGCACTCAAGGGGAAAGTATGTTCCGGTAGGATTTCTTGTGAGGCCGCAGGAGGAGTAAAACTTACTCAGGGTTTCATCTGAAATGATCTGTAAGTCAAGGGGGACACAGGGTCTTTCTGCAGGCATCGTTGCCACAAAAGAAACAAGGAAACAAAAAAATAGAGTTCTCCTAGAGTTTAATTATTTGGTTGTACTGTTTCTTTCGTTGTACGTTAGCTGTGCCTCGGTATCTACAAAAGGAACCGACAGACAAGAAAAGGGGATATTTTGTTCCCCCTTCACAAATGGATTTTCCCGTATTATCCCGCCTCAATGATGATCGTACTTTCTACTCTCTCCTATATGCCTGATTGATCTGCTCTTGAAATCATATATAGCGGGTTAAACACAGAAAATGTTGAGCGATCACTTCCCAAAATAAAGGTCTGTGCTACAGGCTATTCGCCCCATGTCAGGCAATCCAACAACGACTTGGACTCTGGACTCCACGCCGTGGATACCGGATTCAGGGCACTGGATCCCAATCTTTGCCAGTGAAACTTGGATTCTGGGCCCAGTTGTTCGAAGGCCGATAAGCGCTAACCCAGTGTTAAATCTTAACGCGGGGGTCTTTTTCTTTACTTCAAAAGCATTTTCCAGGAGAATTTTCCCTTCTCTTTTTAGATCAGCCAATCATCAAATTGTAGACGAAAAGAATTAAACTGAATTTGCGTTTTAAGCTTTCATATCTGAATTCAAATTTCGCACTACTTTGGGTTATCTTAACCCAGCTTCGAACAACTCAGCCCTGGATTCTAATCGTTAGTGGGATTCCAGATTCCTTGAGGTGTATTCCGGATTTCAAAGACCAAGATTCCAGATTCCTCAAGCAAAATTTTCCTGTATTCCAGATTCAACAGGCAATAATTTACCTGATTCCGGAATCCCTNAAACGTTCAAAAATCAAGTAAAAAAAAAAAAAAAAAAAGTTGTGTTACATAGGGGGAATTAAAGAACACGTGGTTATGTCTTTTTTAGGGTGAAGAGGGGGGGGAAAGGGCTAAATTTGGGCGGGGGGGGGGGGGGGACGGGGGAAATAAAAAGAAAAGGAGAGGCGACAGTTTTTTTTTTTTTGGGGGGGGGGGGGGGAGACAGGGTCGACACAGCAGTGGGATCACTCGCCTCCCTGGGCTGAGTTTGTTGTTGGCTCTCCCCCTTGCTCCGAGAGGTCACAGCTGGGAATCGAACTCGGAACCCCGTGGGGGGAGGGGTACTCCCTACGGGGAAGTTCCGCTGGATAGGGTATGCTTTTTGTCCTCTCTGTCCTAAACAGGGTATACAATTTGAGATTCTGTTCTTATTATAAACAGGGTATTACCTGCTCAATTAATTTGATTTGCTGGACGAAATAATGCAAAAGCAATGACTAGGACGTGAATTTTCCCAATTGCAATTGCCAATAAATGACTCTAAAATAAGTCGGCGTTCATTTTGTCGTTTGTCCTAGACAGGGTAATAAAATTGAGAGCGTTGTCCTAAAAACGATATTTTGATTTTTTGGTCCTAAGCTATCTTCTCCCGCTCACCACCTATGGCACAGAAGGCCGCACTAAACCAACTGTGCCCAATCATTGCTCCAAGTGCAATCAATACCATGTCTGATGTTGACTGCCCTTCGCCTCTAACTGCTTTATTCTGCTTGCAGCTTTGTTAGATTTAAACACTAGTTTTGGTGGCCCTGCAACAACATCACAATGTAAAGATGTACCTGTATTCGCCAGCGTATTCTTTCAGTCTAGTTTTTGGAGCTCGAACTAAAATCCCTTCATGCACCAACTCTTCATATAGAGACTCAATAGTTCTAAAAAACGTAAAGTTATTGTTAATACAAGACGACCCAATAGTCAGCCGATACAAGACAAAAAAAAGAAACAACAACAACAAATGTTTTGTTACGCTAATTAAACCATTCACGGCACACGCAAATGTGTCGTTACGCTAATTAAACCGTTCTAGGCACGTGCAAATGCGTTGTTACGCTAATTAAATCGTTCGAGGCACGTGCAAATGTGCTGTTATGCTAATTAACCGTTCAAGGCACGTGCAAAGGCGTTGTTATGCTGATTTACCGCTCAACGCACGTGCAAATGCGTTGTTACGCTATTAAACCGTTCAAGGCACGCGCAAATGCGTTGCTATGCTAACGAAACTTTTCAAGGCAAGTGCAAATGCGTAGGTATGCTAATGAAACGTTTCAAGGCACATGCCAATGTGTTTTCCTACTTATTAGGTCTGTAATTTCAAGAAATTTCCCTTTTTCTTGCACTTTTACCAGATAATTCAACCAAGTCTACTCGCGCATGACACCACGATGTAAACTAACTCCTGCGGATCGTACGCTAAGAGTGAGCAGTGACAAATCACAAACCTGTCCGCTGTCAAATCCTTTTCCTTCTTTTTCTTTTTCCCTTTTTTTCCACTTTTCTTTCCACTCTTCTTCTTTTTCTATTGAAATAAAACATTACGATCAATTTTTACAGCGGCCTAGTTGTTCGAAGGCCGATTAGCGCTTAACCCGGGGAAAAATTTAACCCAGGTTTCTTTTTCTTGTGTTCAAAAGCATTTTCTGGGATAATTCTCTCTGTTATTTTTAGAGCTTTCAATCATCAACTAGTAGACAAACAGAATTAAAACTGAAATGCTTTTCAAGCTTCCAAATCTGAATTCAAATCTCGCTCTAACCCTGGCTTATCTTAACTCAGCTTTGAACAACTCGACCCTGGACAGTATCTATTTTGCGTAAAACTACTGTGTTTTGAAAAGTTTTGAAACCTTGCCTTTTTTCCACTTTTCTTCCCACTCTTCTTGCCCTTCTTTCCCTTTTTTCCTCCTTTCTCTCTGTCAACAGCCTGAAAATACACAAAGAAAAGGTTTTGTTTAGTATATATGCTTCCTCTCAGTTGCACCAGATTTGTAAGATAAGAATACAATACGTCACAATGGATGATGAATTCATCAAAATCAAACGCGCGCGCTCCAAATGCAGGTTTCGCTCAACTAGAGAAAACACACCAAAAAACCCTAAAGGGCCACGCAGAAATGACTAAGGCCATAATTGCACACTTAGGAAGAGATCTGCTGGTCCAAAGATTTCCTAAACCGCGGTCTAAGTTACACTTCGTTTAAATAACCGATCCTTAGATTCTAAGACGAAGAGGACTACGACGACGAGATTTTCTCAATAAAAAAAGTGCGCGCGTGCACCAGCCCCAATTTGGTGATAAAACGTCATACCCGCCGTCATTCTGCTACGAGAATAGGGAGTTATAATGAGAAGGTCATGAAAACGTCGCTTAAAAAGTGAATTTGCGTTCTTTCAATCTCTATCGCGATTAATTACTCCAACTCGTTTACTTTGTCAAATGCAAGCGAACTCTTTTTGAGCCGAATTCCTAAGAAGCATACTCAAGTTCAGAAAGAAGGAAAAATTAGCCGTCGCTTGTTTACGTCCTCAATAAAATGAAATTCGGCATTTCCCCGTCGTAGTCGTGCAGTGACGGCAAAGAAAAGTACAAAAAAGCGTGATTCACGTGTAAAGTTGTTGTTTTGCCTACTCAACCTTTTGCTTTTTTTATGTTCTTGTTGTCGTCGGTGTCGTGGCATCTTAAAGTCCCTAACGTGGTAGTGACGGAAACAAGTTATCAGCGGATAGAAGTTTTATGACATTGCGATACCTCCCTCTATAACTCGTCTGGTGAAAAAAAGTACAATGAACCTTTCCGGGGTGTATATATTTTGTGGGACTACGCTCAAAAAATTTTACTTAAATCCATCGGAACTAGAAAACAAGATAACGGCGAAAACAAGACAGACGTCTAAAGTTTGACATGCTTGATCGACAAAATTAATAGACGTCCTTGTTGTTTAAGACTCGATAAGACGTTTGAGCCGTCTAGTATAAAGATGAGAAACACAATTAATTGAAAGTCTAGAAATCTAAAGCGTTTCCTAGTATATATGATCAGTTTGCTTTACTCTGAGAATGTAACTTTACTGCAAATTGATGGGAGGAGAAGAGTAGTATATGCAGTATAAACCAAATGTATTACACCATGGTCAGTACAAACCATTTTTAAGTTCTTTAGCTCCTGTCGCATGAGCTCGTCGACTTGTTTACGAATTTCCTCTTCGACTTCAATCCTAAAAAAATGGGACGCTTAACTGTAAAATCAATATCCACTGTTACAAATCGATACTAGCATGTTCACAGACCCTATATATTTCTCTTGTTGAGATCGTCGAGCGCGCGTATGAAAATAAATACAGTGGGGAATTTATTGACCGCTAGGGCAAGAGAGTGGTGATGAGCTCGCTTTCGCGCGCTCCAGGCGCTCTGTGTACAGGCTATATCGATACAAAGTTCACTCGTTTAAAGGCTTCGTGTGATGTCTGAGCGCCACACTAGTCCTCGATGGAGGTGCATTAGACATTCAGGAAACAACACACCCGGGGGTGGGGGGGGGGGGGGTTCCTTTTTGGGAGGGTAAGGGGGATGGGCCGCGGGGTGGGGGGGCGTTTATGGAGGGGTCGGAGTGGGGGCGGTGCGCCCACGTGGGTGGGTGGGGGGGGCGAGTAGAGGAGGGGGGGCGGAGCGGGGGGGGGGGGGGGGGGGGGGGGATTTCCTTATGAGAGGCTAATGGGGATGTGCCGCTGGATGGGGTCGCATTTTCACCACTGGATTGACTAGAATGGGGTCGCATTTTGAATAGAATTACTAGAATGGGGTTGCAGATTTTCGGAATTTTTTGGGGCAAGACAGTTCTTCACATTTACGGCTAGCAAAAGTACCAGATTGTTT